CAGCTGAAAGAGCCAAATTAGAGATCGCACGAAGCCGGAGCCCAATCAGTCAGAAAAAGGTACGTTTCGCTGACTCTCTGGGCCTGGACCTGATTTCTATCAAACACTTTGATGACACGGATATGCCTGAGGTACCAGACCGCATTATTGACAAATTCAAAAAAGCCAGAGCTCTCCACTTGAACAATTTCGACAAGTCCAACACATCAAGTCAGTCCGTGTTCATGGAGCTGCTCTTCACAAATCCAGGATCCCTGCCAGACTTCCTTGACAGAGTTTCTGCAGTGAAGGTTTTACTGGAGTCTGTTCAAGCCGATGAGTTCAGCCTCTCGGGGGTCGTACGGGTTCTTAACTTGGCTTTCCAAAAAAAGGTCTATTTGAGGTACACCTTAAATAACTGGGCGACATTTATGGATATTCTGGCGTTTTACGTCCCCCATTCCAGCGACGGGCTGACTGACAAGTTTAGCTTCAAAATCATCACCCCGACCTTTCTGGAGGTTGGAGGAACGCTGCAGTTTGCCATCAAGTACTGTGTCGTGGGAGGTGAATTTTGGGACAACAACAAAGGGAATAATTACAGAGTAAGAAGGCACATATTTAAAATTTCTCCTCCGAGGGAATGGGAAAACGGCTGGATCCATTTTATTTAGTGCGCGCTTCAGCCTTACTATGGCGATGCTTGCTCATGAATATTAATTTGGTGACTTCCGTCGACGAATTGGCTAAGTAATAATCATGAGCCAATTCTTCGCCATAGTAGGATTAGTAATCTCTCCAGCAGTGTACCCTGACTGACCTTCCATGAAAAACGTATGTAGCATACCACCACCACATATAGGCTATTCATAAATGTAACACCGCGTTGTCTGTGCTATTGTCATTGCTTAAATAATGGTAGAGCATGGGAAATTAAATTAACGTCAAAAAGGTAACCACTAACATGTATCATTAGGCATATTTCTATCGTTGTAATACACTGAATGCTTAACTGCAGTACATGTAAGGCCATGGAGACAAGACCCCTGCTGCCTACACATAGCTTCAATGCACTGTGCTGTAATAGGATATCGTGTAATAATTACAGAATCCACAGTGAGCCTGTTACTCTTCAGTTCAAGTGAAATCATGGTACTTCAGCATCACTGTGCTTGTTTTACGTCAAACTGCAGCTAAGGGTTTAGGCTACCTCAGGCAGATTTTTGATACAATAATAAATCAAACCTTTTTAGAAGAGTGTATACCTTGGGTCCATGTAAAAATTGCAACCTGTTCCTCTCTGTCTGCTGAGAGCAGGCTTTGGACAAGTGCCTCTTGAGGCCAGGGGAATAAGGATTACCTGCATAGCTCTTAAAGAGACAGAGCAAGAGTGAATTTACAGAGCCGCTGAGGTGTTTTGCTTTAGCAATCCATCCATGTGCACCAATTAAATATTGCATACAATTTCTCTTCCTCACAAAATAGTCAACAGCCTGCATGTTTTCTTTTACTTTTCAAGTCATCAAACAAATTGACCCTGTTTATATATTTAAAATATAT